AAAAAAAAAAAAAAAAAAAAAAAAGAAAGAAATAGAAGAAAATAGGCTCTTCAATTAATTAGCAGTGATTATGTCTGAAGAACTGTGGAAGACTTTATGTATTATCTTAATAACTTTGTTCAATTGAGCATGATTATTCTGATAATAATTATTGGTAGTTTAAAGCCATCCACAAATCTGAGGCAGGTATAGTTCTCACAGAACTATATTCCCAGATACTTAAGAGGCTGAGGCAGGATAATCACTTGAGCCCAAGACTTCTAGGCCAGCCTGGGGAATACAAAGAGACCCTGTCTTCCAAAGACAGCCATCCATAAGTCCTGCCTTTGTAATTGCTGGAGAGGAAATTGCCACAGCTACTAAACATACAAAGTGTCCATTGGAGGCACCGTTTTTCATTTTCTGTTTTGTTTTGTTTTTATTTGGTACTAAGGACTAACCCCAGGGGTACTCTACATGGTGCTACATCCCCTGACTTCTTTTTGTTTTTTGTTTTTTTTTATTTTTGGTTGTTGAGGTAAGGTTTCACTAAGTTGTTCGGGCTGCCTTCTGAATCACACTCCTCCTGCCTCAGCCTACTGAGTAGATAGCTGCCTTACAGGCATGCAGCACCATGCCCAGCTGGTGGGCACCTTTTCACACAGTAAGAGTAAGCATGCCTAAAGTTTGAATAGTAAGTTATAACTCACAAAGCAGTGTATATGTTCTCACTTTACTTATCAGAACTAACCTGGGCCAATGGATGAAATCCTGGGGAATGAATGTTTTATTGAGGTAGTTAATCCTAGCCATCCTAAATTGTGTATTTTTGTGGGCAGCATTAAAAAAGTTAAAGCTTATTTATAAATAATTTCCTTGAAATACTCCAATATTTGTAGTTTTTGGAACACTAATACCTATCTTCCATTTTATTATATCTTGTTCAGCGATACGTTATAAAAGTTCTTAGATCACTCATCCTCATATTTTTAAAGCTTTCTGTGGAAAAGAAATTGTAAAATGTTTTGTCTATTTTTTTAACTGGTGCTTTTAAAATTTTATGATCATAACTTTAGATAGCTCATATAGCCAAATTAGTCTTGTCACACTTCTGTAGAGCTCCAAAGTTTGCCCTGACATAGTACTTAGTGCAGAATATTGATTGTGTCTTCTAGGAAGAAAGCATAATTAAAGGAAATTAAAACAGTGACACTTGCTAACATTTGTGGATCATTTACTGTTGTGGGTCGTGTACTTTACATGGATGATTTTATTTAATTGCCACAACAGTCCCTATTAAATTTAGTAGCATTAATAACCTCAGTTTGTAGGTGAGGAACCTGTAAATAGTAGAGATACCATTTAATATATTTTTAACCAAAATAATACACTATCCTTTGTCAGAACTCAAGGTTCATGTTTATGAATAGCCTGTAGTACGTTATCATTGTGTTCCTCTTCATGAGAACAAAATGGATTTCTTTGATGGATTTCTTCTTTCTAGCATCAATTTTTTGTTTCCCCAGTACAAGGAATTGAACTCAGGACCTTGTGTTTGGTAGGCAGGCACAGCCCCACTGAGCTACATCCCTAGCCCCCTAGTAGCAATTTTTGTTTTTTACTGGCACAGCTCTCAAAACAAAGCAGTGATTCTGGCAGCCTGAGAAGGTAGTAGCCAGTCAGAGCGGGGACATCCTGGTGGTAGAGGGCTTAGCAAACCTAATTCTTGCCAGTGTAGGGTGTATACATGAGTATGAGCCTTCATCACGTGGTCTGAGTGAGGTGAGAAGGGTGGGGGCCAAAAATGGTGTTTCCTTTGGTAACAATTAAAAATAATCAGCTTCTTTTTTAGTAAAACTGTTCTACCCCCTCGTTTCTTCAAATGTATTAGTATTCTGTCCACACAGCACACTGTGTAGAGCTTGTGTCACCTTAACAGAAGATCTGTGCAGAGGTTTGAAAATGAGACCACCTATTTCAGTTTAAAGTAGGAACAAACAGTGCTGCTTTCTTTCCTTAGGTGGGTCTAAGTCAGACTGCATGTTTGGACCTCCTTCTTCACCTAGCCCTTTGAGACCAGCTGGTCCGTTTGCTCAGGTAAACCCGCTCAGCACTGCGGAGGGTGCTGCTTTGCTTTGTCCTGTGCGTTCACTGCATCTTGTTGGGTACTCTCGAGTCTGTACTGCGCACACCTTCCTGCTGACTAATGCCCTTGTCCTGCCCTCTGGGCCGCTTGCATGTGTGTGTGGCGAGGTCTGCTGGGTCTTGCTAATGTAGCCTTGCATACCTGTCTATCTTTCCATTTAGCTTGCGGACTTCTACCATCTGCATGCCTGATTTCAGCTCTCTTTGGATATGGTTTTAGTCTGTTTCAGGTGCATTCCTTTTCAATTTTTGTTAACCATTCTGTTTCATTTTTAGGCTGTGATTTTACATGAAGACAAAAAGAAACACAAAACAGCAATATTTTTGAGTCCCCAGTCAGGTATGTGGGTTTAAAAAAATATGTATTATTTACTGCATACTTTACCACATGCCATTTGAGACTCTTGCTGTGACTAATGCGTTTTAACAGAGATTGGACATCAGAATCCCTTGGGGTTACTTTTAAAAATACACTTACCCTGTGTTCTTCCCATAAATCTGATTCTTCGGTGGTTAAGCATGGGTCTGTACAATTTTTAAATACTCCAGGTCATTCTTACACGGCCCCTGAGTAAAAACTATGATCTTCAGTGGTCCCTTCCCATGTGCTTGTTTCTGCTCTGAAGTTGCTAATGTCTTACCAGGTGTGTGTTCTCCTGGTAGGGATTGCTTGTCATGCACTAGAGTAAGGAAGAAATTCTTTACCTTCTATCCATTTCATTTATGCACCCTTCAGTGAATACTTACAAACCTCTCTCTATTTCTTACTGAAGGACAGTGGCCTCAACAAAGGCTCTACCATGGTAGATACGTGAAGCCCTTTCTCTCATGTACTAAATATAAGCAATAAAGAGTAATCATAAAAGAGTAAAAATAGAGTATCATTTGATACCAGATGCTGAGGACTACAAACGGAAACAGGAAAGAATGTTGGGAGTTGGTCTCTGAAAAGTAATATTTAATCAAGGAAGCAGTGAAACAAAGGGACAAGTCAGGGGAAACTGAGATAGCCTGTTACATAAGGGCTAGGATCAGTTCTGTCCTTTAGGTGAATGGAGTGAGGAGGGGTAAGAGTGTAGAGTCATTGTCTGAGGCTTCTTTGGCAGTGGAGGACAGGTATTTTTATATAAATGAGCTGAGAAGCCATTAGGGAGTTTTGAGCCAAGGAGCACTATTTGAAATCTGGTTTTAAAGGGTTAGTTACAGCTGGTGGTGTGAAGGCAGTGGGGAAGAAATGTAAGAAACCAACAAGATGGCAACTGCAATAGCTCAAGAGGTATAGGCTCAGAAATGCAGGAGGAAGTAAGGATGGATTTTCAGAAGGTACCAGAAAATTTATTAATAGATTGGATGGTTCCCAGGCAAATTGAGTCAGAGATGGGACTACAGATTTTGGCTTGAGCACTAGAAAAATGGAGGTAGAATTTATTGTATTGGAGAAGACTCGGAAGAAAGAATTTTTGAAGGAAGGAATAGAAGTCAGTTCCAGACATGAAAGTGGAAGGTAGTTGTGAGGTGTTGTGCCTTCTGTATAGAGAAGAGATCCAGGCCAGAGAAATGAAGGTTCTTGTCAAGCCCCAAGTCTGAGCGAGATCACCCAGAGAAAAGAAGCACCAGGTCCAGAACTCCACACTGGAGTCTACACAGGGCAGGTGTATATGAGAGGAGATGGCCCCGAAGCCATCAGTGACTTTGAGAAGATCCTTGTCTCCGAAGTAGAGGAGATAAAAGCCTTAACTTGCAGGAAGGTGGAGAAATGCTTGGAATGGAACTGCAGGCTACCTAACCTCAGCAGTGGTTCAAAGGCCCCTGGCTTGCAAAAATGGTGCTGAAAGCATATGAAACTGAGGCTGTGGTACTGCAGGGATACTTCTGCATCCTGAAAGGGAAGGGAGAAAAGTGATTTGAAAAAGAAAAGCAAAATAGCTTTGCCTTGTTAGTAACTTTTTGGGCATTTTTTCGTAAGTCAATATAAAACATGATTGACATATCTGAGTTCAAGCCTGCAGGTACCCTTAGAACTTGACTTAAGCAATCTCTTTCTCTTTCCCTCTTTGTCTTGTTCAACAAAAAAAGGTTAAAAAAGAAATTAAGCAAATACAGTTAGTATGCACAGTATTTTTAAATTATTGTATACTTTAAAAGAATGAAATTTTAAAACTTCATTGGGATTACCTGACATTGATGTATGTGATGTAAAACAAGGCACATTCAGTGGTCCCTCTGTATTCATTGACTTTCTGCAGTCCCAGTTAATTTGGTTAAACACAGTTTCAAAGTATAGTACAGTACAGCAAGATATTTTGAGAGCGAATTTTGTCATGTACAAACTTGTGTTACAGTGTACTGTTACAGTTGTTCGACTTTATTACTAACTACTCTGTTCTCATCAAAGTGCACCGTAACTAGTGAGTATAGGGACATATCCAGGGTGGGTAGGATTCAGTATTGTCTGAGGTTTCAGGCCTCCTCTAAGAATACATCCCCAGGCAGATGAGGCCCTCTGTGTTCTAGTTTAGTTCCTACACACCACTGCATCTTAACTGCCAGAGCAGTGTTCACATGTTCATCTTTAGGTTAGAGAAACACTGTGTTCCTGAGTCTTGAAGGTTCTTTGCACCCGGGTCGGCTGCTGAGGAGTTGCAGATGCATGGCAGATTCCCCGTCCCAATGCTGGACCTCTTCACTCCTCTCCTGAGGCTCACAGACAAGGATACTGCAGCCTCACTGGGAAGGCTGAGCAGTCTCTGCTTTGAGTGTTGTTAGCAGGAGCAAACATAATGGAGTCATTAACTTACTCAAGTATTTAAACTGCTTTTAGTACTGAGGTGTAAGTATTTTCTCAAGCATACATAGTACAATGATCTAAATGGAGCTAGGGATTTATTTCTCCACTGTGTGGATTTTACAGGGTTTGGGGGTGGGGAGTGGTTGAGGAAAAGATGAAAGTAACATCATATCTCTTTACGATCAGAATTTTAAAGAAATGGGAGCTAAAGATCTGCACCACATGTATTACATCGTTGGGCCTGAAAGTGAAGTTGTGTGATGTGAGGAAGAGAAGCAAGCAGAGGCTCCAGAAAGATGAGCGGCTGCTTCTTGGGAGGGCTTCAAATTGTTCTTGGAGTTAGCAGCAAACCCAGCAGGCAGAGCTCCCCAAGGCAGGTTGCTGACCAGTGAGCATAAGAGTGGGTGGGGGCCAATTGTGAGGGCAGCAGCCACTCACCTGAGAGTGACTCCAGGAGGGAGGGGCGTGGGAGCTGTGCTGCAGATCCTGAGAACTCAGGGGTCGTGGTGAGGCTGCATGTAAATGATTCGAAAGAGTGCTGTTTTTACAACGTGAGCAGGCATTTCCAAAGCATTTTTTGGAGCAAAAGCACTGGTTCTTGCTTGGTCAGAATGCTCACATTGCTAAAATCAGCTCTGCAGTCAGACTTCATGGAGTGATTTCCAGGTGTGTGATCTTAAGGCGGCCTCTGTCTAGTGGGTGTGCCTCAGTTTTCACATCCATCAGAAGGGATAACCGTCACACCCCAGGGTAGGTGTGGAGACCGTGAACGGTATGTGGAGCAGACAGGCAGTGGCGAAGGTGTGCATGTGTTCCTCCGGTGGACATCACCAACACTGTTCTCTGCTGAAAGCATTAGGCTGAAATATAAATAAATTTGAGACAGTCTTGCTATGTAGTCCAGGCTGGCTTGGTACTCAGAGCAGTCCTGCCTCAGCCTCTCAAATGCTGGAATTAAAGGTGTATACCACCACATCTAGCTGTGTTTTATGATAATTTTATAAATTATCCCAAATGGGAGAAAACTGCAGGTGCTAGACATCAGGTGCCATGTTCTTATACCGAACAAGAGAGTCGTGGGCAGACTGCCCCAGGACTCTCTGCTGGTTATTGCTGCCTCCTGTGCCCCATGTACACATCTAACACAGTGCCTTAGATACTCCATAGGAGTAAAGAAAACAAGTGGAAGGGTGACTGAACAGCACATGAGCTTGTGCCAGGCACTTGAGTTTGAATCCAGCCCAACTCATTGTGTGGCCTCTGTCGAGTTTTCCAGGCTCACTGCTCTTGCATTTTCTTCTCAGTCCACTGGAGCTGACAGCCCATAGTCTTGTGGTAAGGTCAGTCCCATACAAGCGAAGCACTTCATAGTCCCTCCCTACTGCCTGCCTCAGTACATTATCATTGCCCTTTGTTGCTCCTATGGAGAAAATATGTAATGGAGATTTTTTTTAATGAAACAGAAGCATATGGAGATTGCAGTACAAGTTACAAATTAATTGATTTTTTTTTTTTTTTTTTTTTAAGACAGTCATTGCTGTGTAATCCGGGCTAACCTTGAACTCACTATGTAGCTTGGACTGGCCTCAAACTCAAGGCGATCCTCCTGCCTCAGCCTTAATTTTTTTTTTTTTTTTTTTTTTTTTTAAGACAGTCATTGCTGTGTAATCCGGGCTAACCTTGAACTCACTATGTAGCTTGGACTGGCCTCAAACTCAAGGCGATCCTCCTGCCTCAGCCTCTTGAGTGCTGGGACTTAAGGTGTGCACCACCATATCTTAAGCTGATAATGAACCCGGCTTATTAACTGATTTTTAAATTTGTTGCTATGGCTTACATTTATGTAGTATGAGAGTCTCAGAGAAGTTTGGTTTTTTTTTTTTTCCTACTCCTTAGCACCTCCTACCTTCATCTTCCTCAAAGAAAATTACTTTAAAAACTACTTCATTTATCCCATGACTTAAAATCTTAAAGATTAGAGGTACAAATCGATGGATACTTTTTTCCCTCATGATAATGTTGTATTTATACAGCTTTTGTTGGTAAGCAGAATTTCAAAACCTATAGCTTATTCTTTATGATCATAAATTTAAAAAAATTGTTTTACTAAATAAGTGGAAACAAACTCAATGTCAGAGACTATAGATCATTATTTCTGATGCCCTTGATAATCTACTACTTAGCTACCACAAAAATATTTATATCAGTTGGATTCTAAATTTTGAAGTCTAAAAACTTCTTCAATGTTGTTTTTTATTAAATCTTAGGGTACAAAAATTTTGATTTTAAATTTTCATAATTATTAGAATATATCATTGATCAAAACAAATGTTAGAAATTTTGATTAAAAAGTACTTTTTCTTGGCCAGGGATGTAGCTGTGTAGTAGAACATCTGTTGGCCTGCTTAATGCCCTGTGTTCAATCTCCAGTACCACAGAATAAAATAAATATATGTTTACTTACTGAAAATGACTTTCCTATAAGGAGGTAGATGGACTGTTTCCCCTTTCAGTCATGTATCTTCAGGTTGGAATCATGGGCATGAGTGAAGTGTGCCTTATCATTTTTAATCTCTTTGTTTTCATGGTTGGCAAACATTGAGAAAGTCTTTATAATAGCAAATTTAAAACAATAGAAATGCTTTAAAAGTAAAAATGGTCAGTGTATTACTATAACAGTGCCACTCAATTATTAATGATATGACCAAAAATCACAGAGCAATGTATAATCTAAAATTACTTTTAATAATCACTAAGTATCAAAATAATTTGGTGAAAGCTAAGAAGTACAATTTTATTGGAGGCATTCATATCCACCACATGTACTAGCATTTCATTTGCTTCCCCACCGTCTCCAAAGAGGCCTTTTAACACAACAAGCTTGTAAAAGGCTATGGGAGAGCACTGCATCCCATAGCTCACAACTAGTTAGGGTTCAGTCATTGTAGGGACATAGTGCACCGGCATCTTTTAAGAGGCATTCTGAGACTGGTGTTGTCAAGAAATCCACATAAACACCGTACTGGAGGCCAGGTATTTTTTTACTACTGGGAAATACATCAATTTAAGATTTGGATGATAAGATGTACTTACCTTTTTTTTAAAAAGTGGGAAAAGAGTATTTGTGAAAGTTGGAAAGGAAGAGTAGAGTGATTCCTGAAAACTGGCCCAAAATATAGTCAAAGGCATTCTCAAGTGTATCAGTTTTAAGAAAAAGTACATAGAGAACTTGAGGTACTGGGGACACTGGGATGTGGCTCAGCAGTGAAACACAGGCATAGCATGCACAAGGCCCGAGGTTGGACTCTTAGTACCAGAAACGTTGAGGAGCTGGAAACTGATTCTCACCCACATGCCTTGTCAAATAGGTTGGAGAACACACAGATCCAAGTTGGATGACCTTGTCTGTGTAACTCTATAATGCATGTATATTTGTTTAATTATTTGGTGAAGATAAATTTTCTCTAATACATGTGAAAGGATAAAAAAGTATGTACATTTGGACCCTGATGCCAGAAGTGCCAAATTGCAATTGTTTACCATCCCAGAGAGTCATTGCCAACTGTGTCCCAAAGCCTGACTTCCCTGGGACGGTCTTTTGCCAATCTCTTTGACTTTCTGTGGTTACCATTGAACTCACACTTTCACATATTTATTTGTGTTTCCTCATTTTTATATATGTGTATTTTTTGTGTCAGAATATTCATCTCTAACTTTCGGAGCAACTTCTCTACCTCACTTTCTTCACCACCAGCAGCTCCATTGTGTTCTTTCAGCCTTACTGAGATATGATTGGTTTCAAGTCAGGCTTACAAAATTTTATATTTTATATGTTTCACTTCTGATACCTTTGATTTTTTACATGGAAAATTTTTATATGATGTCAGGTATAATTTAAAACTTTTAATAGTAGATTACATGTTTAAGTGATATAATGGTAAAACTGCTAGTATTTGTCTTAGAAAAGTAGTTAACAGTTTAGAAAAAACACAATATGGGTCCAAATTATATAACAGTAACAATCTTACAGATAGGTGACAACTGGCTTTTTAAACTTCCATATGTTCCTGCGTGAATTTTTACATTTAAATGGCATAGTATAGAATACAATAAGCCTGCCTTTTTATGTCTAGTTAACATAATGATTTAAAATTTTTCTGTGCTGCTATAATATGGATTTACTTTTTGTTACAGTATTCCATTCTACAAATACAGCACATGTTTGTATTTCTGATACTCAGGCTGTAACTATTTACATCGTATCTTTTTGCTGTTACAAATACTACTGTAATGAACATCCTTCTGGGAAGCTCATTGAGAGACTGTACAGGACTTAGGCATCTACAGGCCAAATAGTTAGGTCATAGTATGTATGTTTTAGTTAGATACTATCAGACTGCCCTAAGGGGAATTCCCACCGGCAATGTGTGGACTATTTCCTCTTAGCTTTAAAAGTACCTGCTTCTTGTCAGCATTTTAATTTTTGACAAATCTGATGGGTGAAAACTGCTTTGGTGTGGTATTCTTGGTTATATGTTCTTGACTGGTAATGCTAAGCATATTTTTACATAGACTTGTGCTGTTTTTTTTTTCATATGTTGTTTTTTTCTTTAATGCTTGCCTTAGTTACTTTTCTTGCTGCTGAGACAAAATACTGGACACCTAAAGTTAAAAGAGGAAAGGTTTATTTCAGGTCACAATTTATAGAGGTTTCATTCCATAGTTGGCTCCAACGAAGGGTGGAGTGGCAGAGAAGAAACAGTTCATGGTAGGCAGGAAGCAGCAGCAAGAGCAAGCCTTCCTTTTTCTGTCCCTTTATATTCCATACAGGCTGCAAGCCTATTGATTGGTGCCACCTCTACCCAGGGTGGGGCTTCCAATATCCATACCCTTAATCCCAGCATCGTACCCTTAATCTGCCTTCACACACCCTAAATCCAGCCATCCTGAAACACATGAGGCTTTGGGGACACCTAGATATAATCCATAGCAATCCCCATTATTTGTTGGTATTCATCTTTCTATATTGACTTGTAAATCCTTTAGATACTGTGATGTGTTTAGGACATTTTTTTACCCATGATTTTTATATTCACTACTGTTTACTTTGACTTGCTTACCCATAGTTTAGTCCTGTAATTCATTTGAAAATGAACTATAGCTTGGGGAAGGAAAACAACTTCTCCCCATCAAAACATACATATTTGGCCTAATACCAGTTATTGAAGAATCCATATTTTCCTCATTGGTGGGAAATCCAGTCTTCGTTATATACTAGTACCTTGCTGTACATAGTCTCCTAAGACTTTTTCAGCTCTTCTGTTCCATTGCTTTATTTGTTCAGACTTCAGGACAAAATATAGTAATTGTCTTATGCTGTGGTTTAATTAGCAGTCTTCATGCCTTTCCTTTACTTGTAAATGTAATTCATTTTTTCTTTAATATCAGTAAGTTACTACTGCATTGTCACCATAAACAATTTTGTATCTGCAGAGTTTCTGGCCAGAGTTCTTCACAGTCTGTTGGTTGCCGGTGAAGACACTGGTCTGTTGGAACAGAGACTTTGAAGGGTCAGGTTCATCTGAGTCTCTGCACCCACACAGAAAAGTGAACATACAGACGCACTGCAGCAGTGCCACTCCAGCGACTTGTGTGCATTTAGAAATATTTGCCTGAATTTTATCACATCGTGTTGTATATACTTTTTTGGGGGCGCGTACCAGGGATTGAACTTGGGTCCTTGCACTTGCAAGGCAGGCGGTGGAACCACTGAGCTAAATTCCTGGCCCTATGCTTCTTAAAATATAGGCTAATTACTTGATTGAAAGCAAGTGTCCATTATCAAGTGTGACAGCTGTGAATAGTTAACAGTAATTTTATGACTCTGGCAGAATGAGGCTTGTTTCAGTGATTGTTGGGTTTCTTTTCTCCCCTCTTTTAGGAAGCCTTTCCAGTAAATACATGGCTCAGGGAAAAGCCTTGGTGAAGAGGAGCCCACAGGAATCATGAAGGAAGGAGGCGCAGCACTCTACCTGGTACTCAGGCATCCGTATTTGCTCAGAAATTAGATTCATTTCACCGGACATAGCAGCATAGATCAGGCTTCAACTTCATGTTCTAGGGAAATGTCAGATTTTTTTTAATATAATGAAATTGTTAATGAAAAAAATTTTAATATAGTCTTATCTACCACCAGTCCCCATAGATGTAAGGATTTTAACAGAAAGCCATGATGTATGTATTTAAGCCAGGTTAAAAGAAAAAAATGTAACTGTGGGCCAGTATTTAAATGAATACAGCTTCATAGTTTTTAATTCTTTAAAAGCACATGAAAAATGGTGTGCTGATAAACCCCCAAGTACATTAACTCCTTTTTCCTATAAATACCTTCTTTGTTTTGTAGAGGGAAATTATATTTATTGTTTACTGAATTCTTGAGTGGAAGGTATCAAATATGTGAACTGCTACTACTGTACTTATATTTAGAAGCATTTCTTTCGTGCGCTTTGTAGAAGCGAACATGAACTGAGTCCTGTTTCTGGGAGCCCTCGGTGGGTGCGCATGCGCAGTGCCACTGACAGAGCGCTGGACGTTTCCCGCTAAATCCACACAGAACTCTTCTGCTTAGAAAAATGAAATGGGGAAAGCAAGTGGCTATGTTTCCCGTTAAAAACATTTTAAAAGGAAAAAGTGACAAATGTACTTTTTACTTTTTATGATAGTCACAAATTAGGGTGGCGAACTTTTAAAAACCCTCAAGGATGGAAGAGCTGCCTGGGCCAGTCATGAGTGTGCTCGGAGCTCTCCTGGGTCTGACTGGAATCCTCCCGGGACTGTTTCTCAACATCACCAACTTTTTCAGAGTACTGCGTGGTCAAAACTATGCCCCACTTTATCATTTTGAAATAAAATCAAAGTTTCAACTGCAGTTTTATCCACATTACTTTCTAATAAGAATCCTAAATGTAGTTAGGAAGATAATCCTGGAGCAGGACCCATGCGGATCTGCTCCTCTCTAGAGAGCACATAGAGTTCTCTCATGCTTTCGCCGTCACATCGCGTGCTCATGCTGGGCCATGAGCAGACTCCGCACCATGTCTGTGTGCCTAGATAAGGTGGTGTTGAGCCAGGTGTGGTGGTGCACACCAGTAATCCCAGGACTTTGGGAGGCTGAAGCAGAAGGATCACAAATTCCATCCTTGTTAACCCTGTCTCAAAGTACAAAAGGCTGGGAACTCATTGCAAAGGACCTGAGTTCAATCCCTAGTACTGTACCAAGAGAAGGAAAACAACTAATTGAGAGCATATAGCTACAGAAGAATTGTCTCAAAATTAAGAACTTTAGAATTTGCAAGTTATGGCAAAATAAAGCAGTTGTTCCTTACACAGTTTGCACACACTGGGTCGCACAGCCCAGGCTGACAGCTCTGACTTTCCTCAGCTGTTGGACTGGTTTCTTTTGCCTTCAAGCATAGGAGTCAGCTGGGAGCCAGCTTTGGTCACTGAACAGCCTGTCGCTGCCTTCTGTTGTCTCTGTCCTTACCACAGAAGAGACGTTGAGACCAGCCTAATTTGTGTTCTCTTGTAGGTTTTATTTTTCTGTTTGGGTGTGCCTGTGTTTTTATTTGTAATTAAGAAAATTGCCTCAATCTAGAAATGTCCCTCCAGTGAATTTTGTTTTTTTTAGAAAGTATGTTCTTAGTTTTATTTTAGATAACTGTCTTTACTCCGTCTCTCACCTCCATGATCTTTCCTTTTTATCGTGCTAGAAAACTTCTCAAGTTTAATCTTCACGTGACTGACATTTTAGGATTACTCTGCTGCTACTTCTCACAAACTTGTCATTGTACTTTGTTTTTAACAACTCACCGGTCCTTTTGTTTTCTCTTCCTTTAGCTTACACTTTCATAGAAACAATTTTTAATATCCCTTTTTTAAAAAAAGCTCCCTACATTTATTCTGATTCCTATATAGAATCTGTCCAATGTGTTTGGGTTTGAAATGTCGATTCCTCACACTGGATCTAGAGCACAATAAGTAGCATTTGAGTTGTGAGTAGCATTTTAGAGAATGGATTGCTCTTGCCCCTTCCCATGGATATTGTCACAGTGCACCAGTTGGGACGCAGGTGCATCTGTGCCATGTCCAACATACAGGGCTCAGGGAGTAGTCTGTCTTGAACACAGCTGGCCCTTGTGTAGTAATAAGTGGCTCACTACCAAGATTCTCCTTGGCACTTTTTCTCAGAACAAAAACATGAAATCCTTTCCTGTTGGGGGTGTAGGAGGGGATGTAGCTGCATCCTCAGCCTGAGTACCTGGGATTACAGGTGTGTACCACACCCACCTATAAAATCAGTTTTTTTGTTTTGTTTTTTTGGGTACTGGGGATTGAACTGGGGTCCTTGCACTTGCGAGGCAGGCAGCAGAACCACTGAGCTAAATCCCTGGCCCCTATGAAATCAGTTTTTCGAGCAGTGATCAAGAGATCTCAACTTAATCAAAATCCATTGCTTAGTGTGGACAGTATTAGCAATGTATAGGCTTAAAGATATTTTTTAAAGTATTCCACACATGGTCTTAGCCAAAAGGTCAAGAAATTTTAAGTGTTCTTGCATAACTCACTTTTATTTTTCTTCTTGAAATGTGCTTCACATTTTAAGAATGCTTTAAAGAAAAATTTTCCCAAATGGAAAAATCCTGGACAGATCGATCACTGGGGTTTATTATGTTCTAGGCAAGCGCATGTGCGCACGCACACACACACACACACACACACACACACACACACACACAAAGAATACCCCCAATAAAATTAAATGTTCAGAATTTTTTTCTTTGAACTCAGGCATGTTTGGACAGCATCAGTCAAAAAAGTCACACTTCAACAAGTGGAATTTTAGACATAGGATCCAGCCTTGTCAGTTTTCCAGCTGTACAACAAGCCCCATAACCTTGGGCAGATCTTTCCCATCCCATAAAATGGAAGTCATACCTGCCATTCCAGAGTTTACAAGATCAAGGGAGATCTGACTGGGGAAACACGTCATCTAAAACTGAAACTAAATTCTAAAGGACAGTATTGAGCATCTCCCTACACAAGCCAACATATTAGCAGAAACCTGAAAGTGGTTACAGACTGTGAACTGCAGGTTTCTCCAGCACTTCTCATACCCTCTTCGTCTCTATGCTATAAGACAGGTGTTTCTCTGAGATAAAAGACTCATGTACTTTTCGTGAGAATTCTAACATACCAAGCTATTTCAGGGGCCTGTGCCAGTTTCCAGTGACGTTAGGTATGCCTGCTCCACTGGCAAGTATTATGTAACTTAGTGTTTATGGAGAAAACTTGCAATCAAGTGGAAAAACTGAACATTGGAATTAAAGCAGAAGAAAGGCTTTTAAACATACAAGTGATCCTGAAGAAAAATTTAGGACTAGATTTTTTTAAGTAGCATGTATTGCACTGTACTAGACTTGAGATTTAGCACCATTTGTAAAAAGTCATGCCATTGTTTCTGTGCTACCCCAGTTCATGGTTGTGTGGCTGGCAGGAGACGATGTGCTCAAAGAATTTTGTGTTTCTGTCTTGTACTGGGGATTAAACCCAGGAGCTTTCCACAGACCCGCCTCCCTGTCCTTTGAGGCAGGTTCTTGCTCAGTTGCCCAAGCTGGGTTCAGATTTGTAATCCTGCTACATTATCATACCGTTCCCAGTATGGGAACGGTGTTGAATGCTTGTAACCCTAACAGTCTGAAAGGCTGGAGGATCACAGTTCAAACTTAGCCTGGGCAACTCAGCGAATAGCAAGACCCTGTCTCAAAATAAAAGTTCAACTCAGTAATGCAAAAACAGAACAAAACAGTTCCTTTCAAACCTGTAAAGTTCAACACAACTGTAGAGCATTTCAATAAATGAAAATATGATACATGACATCTTTTATTAATACATTTTTTCCTTTTAGAGCAGTTTTAGGTTCATAGCAAAACTGGGCAGAGAGGACAGAATTCCATGTATTTCCTGTCTTCCCCCTCTCCCTCTGCGCACCCACCTCCCCGTTACTATTCTGCACCAGCGTGAGGGCGGCGCTCTATGGATAAACCTGCACAGACACACCACCATCCCCGAGTGTAGTTTACACTAGGGCTTATTCTGTGTTGTGTCTTGTATGGGCTCTGACAAATCTGTCCACCGTTATGGTAACAGTTACATCTGTGGTGTCGTTAACGGCTATCAACTATGACAGCATCTATTGAATATATTAGCCCAGGAATAACTACTTAGACATAATTATGCCCCTCAGCAGCCATGACGAGGTCTCACAACAGGTGTACTGACGTACACAGATGACCAATCACGCCCTACAGTGGAGTCAGGTTTCACGTTCAGCGCCAGAAGAAAAACTGCTTTAGTCACACCCTGGAGTAACCCGGCAGCACGGACTCTGGTAATGAAGTTGCACTGCCCCTCTGCGTCTGAGTCCCTAACACTGGCTTCGCTGGGAAACTGGGTGTGGCGTCTGAAAGGGGGGGTTCGCGTGCCCTTTCGGGTGCCCCTTCCCAATTAGGCCACTCACGCACCGAGAGGTCCGGCAGGAGATCTTTATTGTAGG